ATTCATGTATCCAGTTTGACTCAACTCAAGGGGCTGAATCAGTCTCAACCACCTGATTTCTGGTTAACCCCTTTCTTGAGAACCAGTTACTTCATCAAGCAGATCACATACTGTGATGATCTAAATAATTTAGTTTCCAAAGTCAACTGTAGTGAAAATTCCACCTTCTCGAACTGTGTAAATAACAAACCGCCAATTATACAAGTGTTGCTTTGTAGGGATTTGATTGGTTTCAGGATTTTATCATGAGCTAACATCAGTTAGAGAACCATTGGGAAACCTGGGAGTACTGGATAGCTGTTTCGTCCCAGTTTGGGACTCTTCACGGCACGCATCCACCACCAGGGTTCGAACCCAGGACCTTCTGGTTACAAGGCGAGCTAGCTCGTAGACCATTAAGCCACTGGGACCCAATCCAATGACTCATGAATTCTAACTTCTGCCAATTGAATAGCTAGCAAGAAATCTGGTGGCTTGATCTGATTCGGCTACCTCCCTGAGCTGAGTTAAAAACCGGATGTACACACCATTGACAAAGATCTCGGCCAATCTCGAACGAGAGAAACGCTCGCGTCCCGTGGTGTTTAGATCACCTCGATCTAGCTGTTTGGTTGCCTAGCTAGCTAGCTAGCAAGCACTACCACTGGTTGATGTCATTGGTATACACCTACTACTTATCTCAACCAATCAGGAGTATATTGGTTTTATGCAAATATATTTCATTTTGTTTCTCAAAAAAACAGGGTACTTTGTTTAATGAGCTAATTAGTTAGTTTTCCATGATGTAAATATGATGTAAATTGGCTCTAGAGGGCTTGTTTTTGAGTATAACACAAACACAAATAAACTGATTGGAATCATCTGATGATATAAGTAAATAAATAAAAGAGCTATTCAATAGAAACAATTGTCAATTTTAAACTGGCATATAAAAGACAATAACAAGTGTATGTGAGAGAAAAAGCAAAGCATGTATAAGCATACTATACTTTCTCTAATTGAACATAACATGTAAGAACCACATTCTGTAGTTTTTAGTCTGTGCATTGATTACTTTAAAAGGAAATAAGTCATATGACAAAATCACAATATATATACGCCTAAAATTTAATCCACCTCTTTTCATAGTTTAAACATTGACGAGATATCTTCAAACAGTCTTATTCATCACCATCATTATACAGTTATAGACCAATACATAAAAAAGGGAACCAAAATGTGGTGTCAGGATGGAAAGATATTACAAGTGTGAAGGTATTCTAACTGAAGAGGAATGGGGGGTGGGGGGACGTATTATATACTCTGAATAATATACAGATAAATACAAAGAACTTATAAGAAGATTGATCACTACTCTAATGAAATCAATCAACTGACCGGAACTACAACACTCTCTCTCTGCCTAGTGATCATATGACTGACTAGCAGCTATCATCAGGTGAGAAATTAATCTAATCAACAAATACACACACACACACACAACTAGAGAGAACTAACTGGTAGTAGTAGTACCTTATTTTTTGTTTTGAAATTAATTGTATGCTAAACATTACAATGTGTTATTAATGATTTAATTGACAAATAAATTTTTTTTGTTTAAAATATATTTTTAGTTTATTCCTTCACGTTCCTAGTGGAACTGAGGGCTTCAAGGTAGCTGGAACTTTGAAGTTTCGGTAGCAGTGGTGTTTATTTTCCTTCTTTACCGATTTTATTACTGGCTGAGAGAGGTTTAAGAGTGCCTCGGCCGGGGATCGAACCCCGAACCACGTGAGGCGTGGTTGACGACGAGCCTTCTACCGCTGTACCACCGACGAACAAATGACAAGCAAACGTATTCAGTAATTTGTAAGTCCTAGGAATAAATATGCATCTCATCAGCTCTACTAGTAGACAAACTTGGCACAGGAATATACGAAACATCGTATTCAAAAAGCTGACATAAAAAAATCACAGACATCTGGTTAAAGATTGAGTCTACACACTTTTTACAATCAATCAGATTCACAGACTAAGTCAACGGGTATTAACCTAAACTAGGCAAATTTTATTTATCATAAATGGGTTTTTAAAATAAAGAGTGTAGACAATTCAGTCATTGGGGTGCGATTCAATGGCCAGACCATGAATTTTAACTTCTGCCAATTCGTGATTTTAGCGCGACCACCAACCAGTGTCATCCGTGGCGAGTATTTGTCTGCACTCCCGACAGAGTGGACCCCACTGGTCAGGTAAATTCGTCTTCTAGTCATTTGCTAGCGAGCATCACATTAATTTTCAAGAGGTAGTTTGTCGGGAGTTGATTTGTTTCAAGTTTGATCACGGATTGACGTCACCGTCTCGGGCATGAGGACAAATACTCGCCAATGACATTAGATGATGATTGCGCTAAAATCACGAACTGATAGGAGTTAGAATTCGTGGACCTATGAATCAGGTCCCAATAGTTGAATGATCTACGACCTTCCTTGTAACTAGGTCCTGAGTCCGAAATCTGGCGGTGAGTACGTACTGATGATGAGCCCCAAAATGGGACAAAACGGCTGTCCAGTACTCTTTGCTTGTTTTCAATGGTTCTCTAACTGATATCAATTCGTGGTCACACTTGGAACAAATCAAAACTCTACAATCTAACTCTTGAAAAAGAATGTATAAAAATCATTTATTTACAAACCCTATGATAACTAATTTTGTATAATAAAATATTTTTAAGTATATCACTGATATGTGCGTCGGTAGCACAGCGGTTGAATGCTTACCAACCACACAGGTGGTTCAGGGTTCGATCCCCGGCTGACTAACCCTCAAACCTCGCTAAGCTAGTAATAAAACTGGTAAAGAGGGAAGGTTGGACATGAGGCTAGCAACCCCATCCTGTAAAAATAAATACCACTGCTACCGAAACTTCAAAGCTCTAACTTGAAGCCCTATGTTGCATTAGGAACGTAAAGGAATAAAATAAATAATAAATAAATATCACTGATATGCTATTTGTGGGAGTATAACTCTGATTGTGTGTGTGTGCGTGTGTGCGTTTATTCAGCTTATAATAACAGGCCAGGCTAAATGAATCTTTCATCAGTAGCCGACTACCTTTGATACTAAACAGTTGTCACTGCTGTCTGAAACGCACTTATTGCCTCCAATTACTGGCCGAAAAAATATAGAAAATTAATCTGATGCTCGCTAGTGACTTGTTACAGGACGGAGTTTCCTGAAGTTCTAGTGAGAATTCGTGACCAGTGAGGTCCATCCAGATGTCACGTGTGAGGATGGATGTCCCACCAACGACATTGGTTGGTGGTCGCGCTAAATCACAAATTGATAGAAATTAGAATTCATGGACTGGAAACTGAATTGGGTTCCAGTGGCTTAACGGTATACGAGCCAGCTTGCCTTGTAACCGAAAGGTCCTGGGTTCGGACCCCACTGTGGTGGGCGTGTACTGCCGATGATTCCCAAACTAGGATGAAACAACTGGCTGTCCAGTACTCCCTGGTTTTTAATGATTCTCTGATATCAATCGTGATCAACTCATAAAAACGAAAAAATGTGATTGGAATTCATCTGTAATTCACAATTAACTTTTAATGTCCCTTACGGACTATTGCTTAATTTCTCTCGATGTGAAAACAACTATGAGAGTGATAAAAGCATAATAACATTATTTTTCTAAATTACCGTCATTTCTCAATTACATACGGTAGAATAACATATATACATTGACTTAGTTATGAACTGTATAGTACTACTGGGTACCTGAAACACAGTGTATCTATATTGAAGTGAGGAAGTTTATGAAGATAGAAGTCTTATTATTGGCCCACGGGTTTAGGATACAAACTTCATTTGTAATTCTCAACAGAGTAGAGAACTAAGATATTGGCGCTTTTGTGTGTGAAATTCATGCATTAACATAAACACTAAGTGAGTGAATGTCTGTTGAGATCATTTTCTGATAGTCCAAAATTACTCTAAGTCTTATGAATATTTTGTGGAAGTGTGCTCATATACCAACCTAATTTTAATAAAATGTCAGCGATATTTAGATTTATAATTTCACTTAGTATTTTAATTGTCAGTGTTCTTGTTTTCTGCAATTGTAATAAGTGGGAAATCTATGCGGAGGTTGAATGACCAGTATTGGTCTAAATGCCCTTTTAAGAGCATTGGATAGTTGCATTTTTAGTGAGGTAAGCGTCGGTGGCACAGCGGTTAGGACGCTTGCCGACCATGCACAAGGTCCGGGGTTCAATCCCCGGCCGACGCACTCTTTTACCTCGCTAAGCCAGTGATAGAACTGGCAAAGAGGGAAGGTTGGGAATGAGGCTAGCAACTCCATCCCGTAAAAATAAACACTGCTACAGAAACTTCAAGCCTGTACCTTGAAGCCCAATGTTCCACTGGGAAAGTGAAGGAATAAAAAAGAAGCCTATCGGATATGACGGCAGTGATTTACTAATCACGATGGTCATGGTTAGATGAGAATTTGAAGAAGCTGGGGAGATATGGATTATTGGACTTTGAATTAGCGCGGCTATGGGATTATGTGGAGACTGTGGAGACCGAGGAAGTATCGAGACTTCATACATTTAACCAAACTTTCTTAGGTAATACTCCTGAGGTTCAGCATCCTCAACTACGTGGGTATTGCGAAATTTGGCAGTTGTTTCAAGATTAACAGTTCACGCGAAGTTATAAATCTGCATCGTTTAAGGTGGCCAGAAGAAAAAAGTGTTACACAGTCCTACTCACTATTTGCCTTGATTTGTGTTAACAGAACAAGGACTGGGTTGGAAAACAAGAGTAAACAATAACCAAGCTATGACATAGTGACAGTCTACATAATAATAATGCTGCAGACAAGATACTTGAAAGAAGGAGAAAGAGGATACTTCACAATGTGGTTATAACTACTTCACAGAATACACTACACCCATATTATTAAAGGTTATTTTGTGTTTAACAAAAGTGTAGAATATATAAAATAATTAAATTACCGAAGATTTTGATATTCTTTCATGATTTGTGCTTCTACTTCTGGTGTTTGATTAAAAATTATTTTCAATTTTCGTAACATATCACAACATGTTGCATAATCCATTGTCTCGCCTTGTATAGACTGATCATAGTTGATAATACTGGAAATATTCGTAGATTCAGTAGAGCTGGTTCCATTCAACTGAGCCTCATATGACATAGATGCATGATTAATGACATCTCCGTTTGGTGTCTCTATTCGGTCTGGTGGCGCATCACCGAGTTCGGCTGTAAAAGAAAAGAAATTCTGGTCAATTAATCAGGGAGGTTAAATTTACAATAAAAAACGGTCGGTCGGTTTTCGACACAGAACTTTGCACATATGTGCGGCAGTTCAAGTCGCCACACTCCATGTAGCACACAAAGCAAGAGAAGAAAGTAGGAGATATGCATAATATAGACAGTGAACAGAGGTGTGAGACAAAGGAAAAGTAATAACGAAGAACAAAACAGTTTCATTGGAAATCATAAGTCACAAGGAGTGGATGCATCTGCGCCAGCCATTGAGAACGATTTTGAGCCATGTCACCAATTGTTTCCAACCATTGGTTTCTACCGTCCCGAGGACCCCAACGAGTCAGGAAGTCTACACCTTCCTACATGACTTAGACTAACCGTTGTAGATTTCATTGACTGGTGCCATGTTTTGGTTTGACCCTCGCTAGCTCTTTTCCAACGTGGCCCTATATCAGCTAACATTGCCCGTCGAGGAAGGCGATGACTAGGCATACGTAGCACAACAATAAAAAACAGCATGTGCAAGAGTAATTTCTTCCTAATACTTGAATTTCAAAATATAACAATTAAAATTAATCTGATGCTCACTAGTGACTTGCTACAGGTTGGAGCTTGCTGCAGTTCTAGTGAGGAAGTCGTGACCAGTGAGGTCCAATTAGATGTCACGTGTTTGGATGGATGTCCCACCAACGACAATGGTTGGGGTCGCGCTAAAATCACGAATTGGTAGAAGTTAGAATTCATGAGCCATTGAATCGGGTCCCAGTGGCTGAATGGTATACGAGCCAGCTTGCCTTGTAACCGGAAGGTCCTGGGTTCGGACCCCACTGTGGTGGGCGTGTACTGCCGATGATTCCCAAACTAGGATGAAACAGCAGCTGTCCAATATTCCCTGGTTTTCAATGGTTCTCTAACTGATATCAGTCCGTGATCAACTCGTAAAATCAAAATAAACCCACTGTAACTGAGGTAAAATTACTTTGTAAACGATCTTTTACGATATATGTTTGAAAATGACATATAGCTCTACTACTGAAGATTAAATGACGAGAAAGAATTAGCAACAAGAAACTCTGATAACCGGCAAAGCAATCAACAACCTGTTGCTTGACAAATATTCTACAGAAATGCAGATGAATCGGATACAATTTGAGGCAACAGGTAATGTTTCTAGTGGGACCGAATGGGAAACGACGAGTCGAGCATGTGTCCCAGGGTGACATGGAGGAGATCTTGTTAGGTGGAGAGGACCGAAGATTATAGACAACCACGGGACCAGCTGAAGTGAACTGCAGAGAATAAATCGAACAGATGTTCTGTTGACGCCTTATGTTCCAATCGGAATCCAAGGGGATAATAATAATACTAGTAATAATAATGTGGCTCTACTAGTGGAACGCTTGTACGATAATTGATAACTAAAAGGTTTATGTCTATACATGTAAAATACTACAATGTTCTACAGTGAACAGACACACTTGGTATGTGAACTCAGTCTTTAGAATGCTCAGAAAAATACTATCTTTTTAGAAGTTGCATGGTAGACGAATTTCACCTGATATACAAAACATTTTTCTAATGAGCTCAGACTAAAATATTTTTTTAAAAAAAGAATCAGAAGTGTAATATACACACTGAACCATGTGTCTACTGAGCAAAATAACAATGTGTAACTCAACTCAACTACTCAAACTAAAATAATGATTGTTTAAAATTACTAGGTATAATTCTCTACATTTAATTACAGTCCATATTATGTAAAACATCAAATTAGCATAATAAATATATAACGCCTTTGCAATAAATATTCTTGTGTTGGGCCCAATAGTTCAAAGAATGATAAAGTGAAACCGTTAAAGAAAAACGGATCACTAGTAAGTAAGATCTCTTAGCACAATAGTGGTGTTGCAAAGGGTTGAATGCCAATTAACTATTTAAAAAGAAAAAACACCATTCGATAGCATCAAGTGATTATTCATGAAATTAGCCGAACACTACACGTCTCACCCTTTTACAGTTGAAATGTTAAAAAAACAAAAACACCAGTCACCGGTTAACAGTGAAAGAAATAAAGTTTATTCCACACACATAACACGCGATTAAAATAAGACTAACACGTGGTATCATCATATATCAGTGAAAGATCAATATATAGTGTGACAAAATTAAACGTCACAATCATAAATTAATCCAGTTATTCCACTGAAAAACTCATTTCGAGGGCAAATTAGATGAGAGAGAAAAATATATGAGTTGATATTTTTCGAATAGACTAAACATGTGTGTGTAGGTTTTGCAAATGTGAATAGATAGTCCTTTTTCTTGTCATTTGTCATGATAATTGATGATACTGACACGTTTCTTAAAAATATTTTGTAGAATTAGATGAAGAAAGCAGTAGGGGATTAACATTTCACCACTACAATTATAACTGTGTATTCATCGCAACACAAACATGACAGAACAACGAAAAGGAAGTGAAAATGATACGGTCAATATGAAACTATGCAGTCGGTAGTTGCAGACCTTATATGACATTATTCTCCCTCAAAGGTTATGAGTCATTTGGGAAGTCTATCGACTGCAGTACGACGAGCATTGACGATTTCAGGTTCATTAAAACACTGAAATAGCCTATCAGAACATCTATTCTGACCTTAGGTGAACAATATCACAAAACGTTGTTTTACAATAGAGTCACTAACAAGAGGGAAATAAGAGGCTCTTTGATTCACCCACTCTAATTAATTATAGATTACATAACAATACAATACAATACAAACGGGTTAACAAGACTAGAAATAAATATCACCGGAGTTCCTTCACAGTTTAGGAAATGATTCAAACAAAACAACTCTGAGAGAGTGTACAGGCAATTAAATCAAAGTGTCATCTATGAATACACCATGATGTTAACTATAGTTCCAAAACAAGACGATGTGAACGGAAGAATTTAGAAAACTTTGAAGGTTATAAAACTTCACTGAATAACAGACAGTGAAGAATGTCTTCGAAACAAAACCGTAATTTTTTGAATTGGTTGTTGTTAGGAATGAAAATCAAATTAGGCAACAAGTCACTTGGTAACCTTAGCATTAGAAATCAGTTTACGTACAAAGTTAAACTGGAAAATAGCTTGAAATCAATCAATTTTCAGAACAAATATTGAAAACCAACCAGACAAAACTATTCTCAACATCTAAACAGAAGCAGTTTCGCTTGATTGGAACATTGATGATACCAACCAAATTAGGAGATGTCCATGAGAAGCATCATAACGTGAAAACTAGTGCAATGAGCAGTCAGAGAAGATTAAGCTAAGGCAATGAACTGCACATCCGAATTCCTCTCTGCTAAGAACAAATCATCCACGTGTACTCAAAAAAGACACAATCCAAACCGGTTTCCTGTAAAGGTAGCATGAGAATATAATGCTCAGACTGACATTAAACGCCATGTATATGGAAACAAGTTGAGGGAAAGATAAGCCTACCATTGAATACAAAATTCTATGTAAGTAAATATTTTGTCAACTGAAAATTTAAGTCACAGTCTGAGATCGAAAGCTTTGAATATATACACTGTAATAAATCATCACTTGTCAGGAGATTCGAAATACACTCATTTACGACGTACTATTTTGTTATTTTCATATTTAACACACATTTAATTTATATATATATATATATATATAACAAAATTGTACGCAATCATTACCTTGAGCAACCAATGCTCCGAGTTTTCCAACTAAAGCAGGCGGACACAAAAGACGTCCCTGAGTTAAATCCCGACGTATTTGGAGGTACATCAAATATCTATAACATATAATTAAAAGGTAAATGGCATACACAATTGAGATAATATATTACATTCTGGGAAACATTTATGATAATGGTATGTTAACTTGATTATCCAAGTAATTTTTGAGGAACATTAATCCATATTCATTCTTCGAGTAACTGAAATTATCATTAGCACATTCTGAAAACTTAGTTCTTTCGAACGTATAAAGTTAAAACAAGCAAATATTTCCTGTTACAGGAATTAACGTTTTACTAAGTTTTTAAAAAGCATGGTACCGTCTTCGTGAAAAGTAGGGTTGTAACACGTAGACCTAGGCATTAGGCTTTTAATTACCCAACCACAAGTAAAAAAGGAGCTAATAATACATAACCTACTACTCTTGCATAATGCTCAAAATGACGATAAACTCATGCCCTACCTTGACTATTTAAGCCTAAGCAGTTAAATGACGTAGTATTCATCACAATCTACTGTATACAACTGCAATTAAACGATACTTTGAATTGTGTAAGTATTTTTGAGTTGATATTAAATAATCCTGAATGTTTCTAATAAGAAAGCAGTGTTCATAATATAACACGCTGACAGCAGCAGATACCAAGATGTGAGCAATAAATACTCAAAAACGTAACTACTTGTGTAACAAGTGAAAGTCGTGCATGAATTTATCAGCCGGACACAAGAAGGTAATAGATCTATATGGCAAACAGATAATTTTATTAAATTCTGGACAAAAACAACAAGCTTTTTAGTCATAGCTCTAGGAGTTAAGTCCTAGATTTATAACATGATCAGATTAGCATGAACACACCAATCAATCAAAAGCTAAAATTTCAAGTCTGTGGATAGCATTACTACCTTTACAGAGAACTTTATGGGACAAATTCATTGTGATTACACAAGGGCTACTATACAGATTAAAATATCTCCGGTATTAAATGAAACGACTTTATAGATCTGGGAAAATACTCCACTTATTCTGGAAAATGTCAGGATGTCTACGACACGTATATAAAGACAATCGACTGAAATGATATGATGGCAAAGGATAAAAGTAAGAAAGGCAACAAATGGGAATACTGCATGGGTTGAGGGAAAACTATATTATACAAAAGTAAATCTAGTGGTAATCATCATATATGAATAATACTAAAAGCAGTGTATTTACAAAAAATCTAATGCATCAAGATAGAAGCCTTTATACTGAAATATACTGCGTGCACTTAGTACTGATGCTGATAAAACCTCGTATAAAATGTTGATATATAAAAATGTGCGGCCTGAAATTGACTTGAAGTTAAGAGTCCGACTTAAGGTCTTAAGGTGAATGAGTGGATGAATAAATTCCAATAGCAATCAACTCCTCACAAAAAGGTATTTTAAATACTTAAAGTCTATAAGTATTTAAGGGAAAGACCTACCTCGATATGTTTTGAGCCAAGTCATGAACTGGGTCTGGAGGATAATGCTTTACTCGGAAATTCAGCACATAAGATTTGCAGTCTAAAAAGCACATGAAAAAATGAAGTAGTTCAAACCTTTTAGTTGTTTATGTACACTTTTGTCTAGTTCAAGCCATTGCTAAAAAAATAAAATATAGCCAAATACATCATACTCGTATGCTTCCTTTATCAGTATACCGCAGCCCAAAATAGTCACATTCAACAAAATCACCAATTGTTTGGCACACTTTTTTGAAGAGAATGGAACCTTCATCGCTTTTCTACAAAATCACTAAGAAAATAAACAACTTACTTTTAATGTAAATTCAAGTGGAGCTTGAGTGTCATCTAACAATCTCACTTTACAGTGGATAAAATCGCCGGGTTTTCCAGATTCATCTAAGCTCTTATCAGCAACACTGTCACCGGCATTCTTGACTTTAGTTTTCTTCGAAGACTCCTTAGACTTATTCTTCTTTAACGACTTCATCTGCTAAACTACTAACAGTCTAACAAATAAACACTAACAACGCGACCACCGAATATCCGCTCAAAAACGTGTGCCTTACCAGTCGAAACAAACAAAAGCACTTTCCATAACACTGACGCTCCGAATGTTTTCTTCTAATATTTAGGCCGGAATTGTTTTGCCCATCCATATTAATGGCTCCTGATTGAGTGATACATGCAAATGTGGTCATTCTATGATTTGGACACTAAATGCTAATTCATTTTCTTTTCTAGTGAAAGAGTGGAGGAAAATAGGCAGAAAATCCCGTAAGACGCACTCCTAGTCACGAGACAATAGTGATTTTATCTCAATTAGAAAGGATTCATGGTAAGTTCTAAGGAAGAAAGTATATTACAAAATACTGTTCTCACGCCAATTAAACTAAAGAAACAGATCAAGTCAGAACTCTCTTCATAAAAAGAGTTATGCCTACCTTTCATTGCATTGTCCATGTGTCTCGCTCGTTTAGACATCCGTTTTTAGCCCATTTCCAAGTCCCTTCTGCCAAATAGTGCCGCTGTGGCACACTGACAGCTGGATATATACGCGGCTGTCTCCTTATTTTGCATAACTTACTGAATTTATTATCCCTGGATATGCCATGCCCTTTTCCACTTTCATTCTTCTTTTTCTTATTTTTGTAAAACATTGCCTTATGATGAAACTAATTTTGACAAGTTTTCTGTTGAATGAACGGTGAATGAACGTGGACTACTTCATCCTCATGATTTTCGTAATATACAGGACGGTGAAGTAGAAACTAAATAGAAATTTTGATGTTGTGCGTGGACTTTTGTCTGACCTTACTTGGTCGTCTTACATCATCTTGGTTTCTAAGAAAATATAACGTCTAGCATTTTGCGGGGTACAGTTGGAACAACTGAATGGAACTCAGCCCCTATCCTGGGGGCTTTTCAACTTCTGCATTCTGAAAATTCTTCTTTGCTTCATATGATCACCCTTACTTATTTATTGAAGGTACGACAAAACTATATAGTTATTTTGCCCCTTTCGATGGAAAGATAAAAGAACTTCAGATGAAACATTGTGTTATACGCTGGGGCTTCCACTGTGTAGCGAAAACAGTGTTTGGACTACCTATCTGAATAATATATTGTACCCAAGGTCTAGAATTTGTAGTCTGGGCTAAACGTATTTTCAGATAAATTATCTAGAGTAGTGATCTTATCAGATTAGATGTGTGGAAATTCTGCAATTCAGGCCAGTTTACCGGGATTCTCTTAAGTTTTCTTAGTGTTGGGTAGCTCTGCAGACAATGAATTCCAAAGATCTCTCCTTGTTCTGTCCCTTCTGTAACCATTATGCTTACTTCTCTCTGAAAAATCCACTTCTGAGGAACGCCTTTCCAAATCCAAAACCTTGGTTGACTGAGTATATATCCCTGTCTTTATTTTCCTGCGCTTAATGGTTGACAGTTAAGCAGTGTTTCATTGACCTTTTGCAATACTTTTTGAGTCCTTATACTTTAGAACGTATCTGCAAAATTTCCAACGACATGGACGCTTCTATACATTTTGATTAAAACGAATTTTGTCTCGAAGACTATCTTGTGAGGTCAAAAACGATAAAACTATCAAATGCATATCTGAGGTTACTTTTGTTACTAAAAATAAGTATATTATTAACAAACTTCTGAGTCAAAGACGACTGAGATGAATATTACGTTTGTTAGTTTAAATAACGTTAAGAATGCTTCTGTGTCGCCTTTAATTGAAATTAGGTGGCCTGTACTACCATCTTTTTACAGTTGGAATATTTTGAAAGAGCTTGGGAGGACAAATTGGTTCGCCTGTCCAGACTCCATTCGAAATCACCGAGCTTTCCACAAGATCTGATTTCAGACATTAGGCGTTTCCAGAAGTTATCTCCCTAAACAATGAAAAAGCTGTACCTAGTGACTTGTTTGTGGGTGAAAACTCTGAAAATGTAATAATAATAATTTTATTTCTGGAACAGAAACCAGCCATTTTTACAGGCATGAACAAATGTACACTAATTAGAACTTATAGAATATATATGATTTGTTAATCTAGAAATAGATTGAATGTAGTCGTGGCTGCCAAAATGATGTGCCACGAGGTTAGCCTGAAACAAACTGTCACAATTCTTTCTCATAACTTTGAAGGGACGAGATACGTTACACCTTACTGTTCCTAACCACAGGTTTAACAATTCCAGTCTGATATATCTATCAACATATTCACTTTGCCGGCCAAATCCTATTACTCTTTTCTTATAAACACGACAATCTTTAATTTATTTTACCAAAAACGCGCCCTAAAAGCAGAGTTATATTATCGGCATTGTACTTAAGCGAGTTTTATTTATCGACCAACAATAGACCAATACAGGGAGGATAATTATACAGTGGTGTAATCGTGTTTTTCACGGCTTGTGGTTACGAAGGCACCAAAAATCCATAGACAAACGTCAACTTTATATTTGTAAGAGTTAGACTAAGGGTTTACTTCTACCTGACAATAACCACTCTTACAAAACTCCTTCACCGTTTATAACCTTAATTAGTACTCTGCCTACGTGCAAGTACTAAAGAAACGGAATCGAAGTTAGAAGACTCGAAATGGCAAGTGTAACTGGACCGGAATTATATTTACACAACGAGATATGCAATTTGATAAGAAATAAAAAATACACACTTATCTGGATGTGAGACGGCTGTCGGCTCGTAGAGTGTACTAGGTGAAAGTACAGCGAGAGAGCGAGACAGTAACTGTACAGGAGGAACCGGAGTACAATGCGGAAGTGGAAGTCAAGTTAAACATGTCAGGTTGCATTCATTCAAACAAAAGTTCAAAGGTACAATGTACATTACAGGTTATCCCCCCCTTAGAAGGTTGGTGGGATAACAGCAAGCTTCGATATATAAAAGTAACAAGGTGGCGTACAATAACGGTGAATGGACAAGAAAATGTGAAGATAGTAATAAAATAGCTGTTTTTCATTTTTTTAAAAAAACAATATATATATTGAGAAAGGAAAGAATGAAGGAAAAAAAATTAAGACAATTTATGAGCGCTCTGTACACGATCAATGGAGTAAGATGGAATATAAGAAGGAATAACGCTAGTGCCTTGGTGCGATTTTTTTTTAAAATTTTTTTTAACATCGTTTATTTATACGTATCTTTTTTATTTTTTATTTTATTTATTTATTTAGTTTTTTTTTACCACTCACTATTACGAGCTGGGTTATGTGGAGGTGTGATGGTTTACCTCCGTTACCCACGTTGTTATAACTGGAAGGTGGCTCATTATGTCTAAGTTTCATCTTAGACTAATGCTCCATCCTTCCTCATCAACTAAAACTAGTAGTAACACCAAAGGCAATCAATATACCAGCGTATTAGGAGGAATAAAGTAAAAGCAACAGAAAAGAATAATAATAATAGTATATTCTCATTTTTTACATGAGGGACACCAGTTTACAGGCATCATCACTTCGATAAATTACACATACGATTAGTAAATATAGTTAGTAATGATAATATAATAAGGTACATATTTGTTCATACAAATATAGGAAAAACAAGTTCTATAGGAATGGATAAGAATTATTTAAGTTACATATTTAAATTACATGATTTACGGTTAAATAACATGGTTGCTGTCATTTTATCTTTAGTTTGTGGGGAAAATCGGATAAATGGTGATTCAATGGAACACACCAACAAATATAGAGATATTGACTTCGCATTAACAAAAAAAAACCCAAGTATGCGTTGGATGGATTACATATACTTGGGAAAATAAATAAAGCTTGAAGTCAATTCCCTCATAAAACAATAAAATGCGTCTTACAATAATATATTCCCACTTTATGCACATGAGGGACTCCAGTTGACAGGCATCAACAATATGGTAATAATGCACACATGGAGTAAACATGTTTAAAATTTTCCACTAACATAAAATATATATACAAGGTAAGATAATGAAATATTGACCGTAAGTACACTCTGCATAAGTTTATATGGCATAATCCTAGGCACCATTATTGTTTGAATTTGTTGAACATGAGCGAAACAACTGAGTGTTGCGTTACATTCGGTCGATATGGTGGGCTAGTCACAAAAGTATAAAAATGGCTTATAAAACGTTACTCAGTTTACCGTAAACGATGTTTTAAGCAATATAAACTGCAAACGGCTCACTACAGCAGTTAGTATCCAGTTAAACATGCAGAGAAGTAATCATAATTCAGCAACTTGTGAATTTTTATTCTTTTCTGTCTGGAACCTGAGTAACTGCGAACCAATCCATACAAAAATGTCGAAAGAGGCATGCAGGAGCAGAATTTTGCCATCGAATGAGTCATTGGTATCTGAGATGCAGCTATCAGCATATTTTCGTCATTTCATAGATATCCAGATTTATTGACGCTTTATAGGTTGTGATTTGGATTTGTCATCATGATCGACATATGGACGAATATTCAAAATCGGAATACAACTTGTTTGCCTTTCGGATTTACTTAATTACATCGCGTGTTGGGTTTGATTACTCTGCGATTTTGATATAGAAGAAGAGGTTAAGATTTAAAAATCAGCATAGGGTGTTAACAAAAAACTTAAGCGGAATAAATGCGAAGGGACTAGTGTAACATGGAAATGGTACGCCAAATTGAAATAAAACAAGGGAAATTACCAACACTGTGAAAACTTATGCAAGGTACAGAGAAGAGTGTGTACAACCAATAGCTATGAATAAGTATAATCACCATTTGTTAAAAAAATGTAGCGAGCTGCATAATTAAAGTGATGCAAAGTAATTACAAGTATGGGTCACAAAATAAATAAGTTTCGTCATGGCATAACTCGAGTGAAAATAGTAAGATCTGTGAAAATAGATTGAGCGGATTAAACTGTACAGCATAGAAGTGACGTATTTACATACCAAAAATATTTCACGGTCCGTTTAACTATACAGTGAAAGTTTTTGTTTTTACATTTTATTATTTTTTATTTATTTTATTATTTTTTTTATCGGGTCCAAATTTTTGGTCGTTTGGTTTGTAATTCCACGAGTGTTGG